CTCATACTAAGCCTTGGACGAAATTTATCACCCGATTAGGGCTATATTCCCAAACAACCTGACTCGCGGACAGCGCCTCATGGTGTGACAGGTTCCGAGCACAATGGAGCTCTCACCCTCTCCGGTGCCCCTTTCCAAGGGACTTGGGCCCGGTCCACCGCTGAGGATACTTCTTCAGACTACCATTCAGACACCGGAGGCACCCGATTCTCAAGCTGGGCTCTTCCTAGTTCACTCACCATTACTAGGGGAATCCTGGTAAGTTTTTTTTCCTCCGGTTATTGATATGCTTAAACTCAGTGAGTGATCTCGCCTGACCTGGGGTAGCAATGCAAGCATTGATCGAGCGATGCGAGGGGTCTGAAAGGGTCCGGATGGACAACGAGCGTATGTCACCGGGGACGAGGCACGTCGGGAGCTCTACCATCGATGGTCACGGTGCTGTCGTTGTCGGGGACTCATTTTTGGGCCAACCGTGACCCACGGGATCGTGGGAGGTCATTTTCCGCCCACCCCTTCCCTCGAAGCCCGACGGGCGGGGGGTCGGAGGGGGGCGACGGTGCATGACACCCAGGTAGGCGTGCCCTTAGCCTAATGGCTTAGGGCGTAACTTGTGTTCAAAGACTCGATGGTTCATGGGATTCTGCAATTCACACCAAGTATCATATTTCACTACATTCTTCATCGATGAGAGAGCCGAGATATCCGTTGCCGAGAGTCGTTCAATTTTTTTCTGACAAAAGGAGTCGTGGTTTCGTTTTCGGGCGGAAGGTCAGAGGGATAGCGATGACGCGCGTGCTCCATTTTTGTTTCGGTTCCTTGGCGCGATTTGCACCGGGGTTCATTGTTCGACGGCAGGCGAGACGACGTCGATCATTTTGCTTGCTCCGTAGGGGGAACGGAGTGACCGTCACACCCACCTGGGGTCGGAGGGGGCTAGGGTGCAGGGGCACACTCACCCCCTTGGTGTGTCGTTAACGCGTCCTCGGGTCATCCGTTGAGCAGGGTTTCGACAATGATCCTTTCGTAGGTTCACCTAGGAAAATCTTGTTACGACTTGTCCTTCCTCTAAATGATAAGGTTCAGTGGACTTCTCGCGACGTCGTGGGTGGCGGACCGTCCATGTCGTTGCAATCCGAACACTTCACCAGACCATTCAATCGGTAAGAGTGATGGGTAGTGTGTACAAAGGGCAGGGACGTAGTCAACGTGAGTTGATGACTCGTGCTTACTAGGAATTCCTCGTTACTGACCAACAATTGCAATGATCTATCCCTATCACGATGAAATTTCAAAGATTACCCGGGCCTGTCGGCCAAGGCTATAGACTCATTGAATAAATCAGTGTAGTGCGCGTTGGCCCAGAACATCTAAGGGCATCATAGACCTATTATTGCCTCAAACTTCCTTAGCCTAAGCGGCCATAGTCCCTCTAAGAAGCTAACCACGAAGGATCACCTCTGCATAGCTAGTTAGAAGGCTGAGGCTTGAGGCTACTGCTCGCACCAAGGCCTATCATGTGCCGATAGTGGTCGAGGCAACTGTCAGTGTCACAGGCTCCAACCTTAGACTCAGAATCCGTGCGGCTTTAGGCTTGGAATCTCCTGCTTTATGCCTAAGTCAGCCTAAAACACAAGCGTGCGGGCATTAGAACAATGGGAAGGGCTGATTACGCAAGTTAAAGAGAAGCGGGATAACATGGCAGAATGCTGGAAATGCTCTTGTATTCATTAAAGCAAAAGTGTTTGATGGTGTACAAATGAGGGTAGAACAGCCCTCTAATTATAGTTGAGGCTCCAGCTTACACTTAATGGCAATATCCCTAGAATAAAGGCTAAAATCACGGGATTATACAGATTACAATCAATCAGGATTATAACTCTTGATTTCTAGGGTCAACCAAATCTGTCTGCTGATCCTGCATGCTTCCAGAAGCTTTCCTTGCATGTCCAGCACCTTGGGCCCTTTTGGATGTGGTGCGAGCAGCTTGTATGCTAGGCCTTGGCCTCATGGGCTGGCCTGCAAGCTGGGCAGGCGTTCTGACCTCGTCTCCTAGGCCTTGAACGCAAATACCCACCAATGCGCCTAGTCTGTGGGCCTCAACCTCTGGCTCGCCTGCTGGTGCACCTGATGTGCCTGGCGCGCCCACTCAGGGTGTGACATTCTCCCCCACCTCATTGTGCAATGCCTTCGTTGAGTCTTCTGCATGGTACTGCTTGATCTGATCCCCGAACTGCCATAAGTCATCTGCTGGTTCCCAGCTTGCCTCACTATCTGAAAGTCCCTTCCAGTACACCAAGTACTCTTGTCTTGGCTAATAGTTTTTCTGTCTCACCTCTCGATCAGCTACGATGCTGTGGACCTCCTTCTCATATGAGGCCCTTACTCCCAATGGTGCATGCTTTGACTCTGCCCATCTTGGATCTTCCTCATCCTCATGGAATGGCTTAAGCATGCTTACATGGAGCACCGGGTGTACCCTCAGTTTAGGTGGCATATCCAGCTTGTAGGCAACCTTGCCTACCCTCTTGACTACTCGGAAAGGTCCCTCATACCTCTGGACTAGGCCTTTGTGTAGCCCCCTGTGTCACACAATGGAATGTAGCTTCACCAACACCAAGTCTCCAACCTAGAACTACACGTCCCACCTATTCTGGTCTGCCCACTTCTTCGACCTCTTGGCCGTCTTGTGTAGACAAACTCTGGCCAAGTTAGTTTGCTCCTGCCATGCCTTGGCAAACTTGTATGCTACTGGATTCGACCCTGTATAACCTACAGCAATCGAACCGGGTGTTAGTGGTTGTTGCCCTATCACAACCTCAAATGGGCTCTGGTTCGTTACCTCGCTCCTTTGCAAGTTGTAGGAAAACTGTGCAACATCTAGTAGCTTTGGCCAGTCCCTTTGTGTGCCACTCACATAGTGCCTAAGGTAGAGCTCCAATAGTCCATTCACTCATTCTGTCTGCCCATCGGTCTACGGATGCATGCTAGTGGAAAAGTTTAAGTCTGACCCCAACAGCTTGAACAACTTAGTCTAGAACCTGCCTGTGAAATGCCCGTCCCGATCACTAACAATGGTCCTCGACACTGCCCAGTACTTAACCATGTTCTTCAAGAACAATCGAGCTGCCTCCTCGGCTGGGCACTCCTTGGTTGCTGGAATGAAGATTCCATACTTGGAAAACCTGTCCACCACTACCATGATGCTTCCAAACCCTTCTGCTTTGGGTAGACCGACTATAAAATCCAGAGAAACACTCTCCTATGGTCACTCTGGCACTAGCAATGGCTCCAAGAGACACCCTGGTTTCTTGAGCACCACCTTGTCCTGTTGGCACACAAGACAAGTCTTCACAAAGGCCTCCACATCGTCCCTTATGTGCGGCCAGTAGTACCAGTCCTCGATCAGCGCCAAGGTGCAGCTCACTCCTGGATGTCCAGTCCACCTTGAGTCATGACATTCTTGCAAAACTTCCTTGCGGAGCTTCCCATGTTATGACACAAATAGTCTATTGCCACTAGTGTACAACAAGCCATCCTGCAACCAAAACCGCCTAGTCTTACCTTACTGGGCATACTCCATAAGAGCTTTGGTTGTAAGATCATGCGCAAGTCCCTCCTTGATGCGCGACACCAATGATCCCTCTGGTTGGCTAATGGTAGCAAGGTTAGCCATCCTGCTCAGGGCGTCTGGCACTAGGTTCACCCACCCCAGCTTGTACTCCATCTGGAAATCAAATTCTGTAAGAAAATCTTGCCATCTCACCTGCTTGGGGGATAGCTTCTTCTACGTCTGAGAAGTAGCTGGTCACCACATTGTCCATCCTAACCATGAACCTTGACCCCAACAGGTAATGACTGCCAAGTGCGCAAGCAGTGCACCATTGCAGTCATCTCTTTCTCTTGGACCCTGTACTTACGTTCAGTCTCGTTCAGCTTCCTACTCTTGAACGTGACTGGACGTCCCTCCTGCATCAACATGCCCCTTATGGCAAAGTCCGATGCGTTCGTATGCACCTCATACGGCTTGCCATGGTCTGGCAAGGCCAAGACTGGCTCCTCGATCACAGCCTGTTTCAACCTGTCAAAGGCTTCTTGGCACCCTACACTCTACTCCTATGCTCTCCCTTTCTTGAGCAAGTCAGTCAATGGCGTGGCTATTGATGAAGTGCCTGTAGTAGTTAACCAACCCAAGGAATGACCTCAACTCAGTGACCTTGGTTGGTGGTTGCCACTCTAAGATGGCATGCACCTTACCTTCTTCCATGCGTATCCTACCACCTCCCACTATGTGGCCAAGGAACGGGATCTCCTGCTGGGCAAATAAGCATTTTTCCCTCTTAACAAACAGCTTGTGCACCGACAACACCTTGAACACCTATCTCAAGTGGTCTACATACTCTTCCAAAGTCTAGCTGTAGATCACAATGTCATCCAAATAAACCATAAAAAATCGATCAAGGAACGATTGAAGTACCTTGTTCATAAGGGTGCAGAATGTTGCTGGGGCGTTCGTGAGTCTGAAAGGCATCACCAAGAACTCAGACGAACCATGCTGAGTGACACATGTTATCTTTGGCTCATCTCTCTCCGCGATCCTAACTTGATAGTAGCCCAACCTCAAATCCAGCTTGCAGAACCACCTTGCGCTCCCAAGTTGATTGAACAAGTCCGCAATGAGTGGCATGGGGTACTTGTTCTTGATGGTCAGCTTGTTTAAAGCCTGGTAGTCTATGCACAGCTACAATGACCCATCATGCTTGTGCTGGAATAGAATCGATACACCACAGGGTGCCTTCGATGGCCTGATGAAGCTAGCATCAACTAACTCTTTGAGTTGCTTCCTCAACTCCTCCAACTCTGGTGGAGACATTCGATATGGGGCTCTAGCTAGTGGCTTGGCCTCGGACACCAGCTCGATCTTATGGTCCACCTCCCTTTTAGGTGGTAGCTTGCTAGGTGGCTTTGTGGGGATCACATTACTAAAGGTCTTTAGCACC